CATCCTCAAAGTGAGAAACTTGTGTGTTGTAACCAATTTTGTGATTTTGTTCAATTGTAAGCTCCAATGAGAAAAGAGGTTGTTTTTTAATCATCTGAAAATGATTGTCTCAAGAAAATAAAGGACATCAATACTTACTCTAAATTCTATCAGAAACAATTCCTCATAATTTTTTTCTTAAATATATTGTGAAACATCAAAATTTTATTATATGATATTCTTCAATCAAACTCATATTCTAAGTAAAAAGCCACTTTATAATAACAACTAAAACTCGGGATGTTATTACAAAAACTATTAAAAATACCATGGCAGTTTTCTATTTTCTCCAAAAACTTGTCTGTGTTTATTGGAAGATTTCCACAATATGTTTAAAAGCATACCCATCATTTCATTCAAAACCTATTTATATTATATGTAGATTGAAAACTACAAAAAAAATACTTACAGATGAAAAATCACTCTTAGGGAATTCACACACAACATCATTAATAGATTTTATTGTGATATTTGGTGCCCCACAATGTTTTTCAATGAATCGTGTATATTTTTGTAATACACCTTCCGTCAAAAACCTCAAGGAGTCTTCCATCATAAACTGTATCATCTTCAGAAATTTCTTCATCTTGCTGAAATTGTAAGCATCAATGTTTGTTTCTTTGAGGTAAAACCATCCTTTGTTGACATCCTTGAATGTTGATTTAAGCACTGTTTTCAATATGGTTATCCAACTGCTTGGATAAAAATTCAGTCATGTTGATAAAAACTATTAACACTGCTATTATCATTGTCATCATTCATAATCTTACTTCACGTTTTTAATATATATATATATATATATATATATATATATATATATCACGCATTATTATTACTTTTAAATTCAAAACAACTCAGGTCACACCTCAGTTATGAAACTTTTGAAAAAACATACACTACAATTTGTGGGATGTGCTTGAGAAGGAACCAAGACATCAATCATTCAAAAACATTCCAATTGGGTTAAAATTTATCAATTTTTTTTTAAGAAAAAAAATTTAAAAATAATAAAATAAACATAACAAATAACATATGTATGTACATTTTAAATTGTATGTGAATGATGAATAATGTTTTACCTTTCTTTCAAGTGCTGAGAGCCTTGGTCAGAGGCTGTGGTTTGGATTTGCTCAAACTCTTCCAACCTCAAACTTTTTGTGTAATGAGTTTGTAAAATGGCCATTTTTAAAATTTTGTTGCACTCGTGTTTCAATTTTGAGGTTGCCCAAACCACTTCTTTTTTTGTTAGATTTGTAGTGAAATAATACTTGTTCTTCATTTCTTCAAACGGGTACATTGGAATAGAAACAGTTCCATAACTTTACAAAATAAAACAATAAAACAGTACCCCCATGTTCATAGATTTTTACAGATTTATAGTAAAAGTGACCAATTCTATCTCTCTCGCTCTCTCCCTATATATATATATATATATATATATCACCCACTCACTTTTGACCCAAATGGAGGTTTCAAAAAATTTATAAATGTAATCATTATGACATCTTACCAAGGAACTTTTCGTGTAGAAGTTGCAAATTCAAGAGCCTTGGATACATCCAATGTAAACTCTTGTGCAAAAGAATCTTTTTGTTTCAAATTGTGAATGAATACAAGAAAATTCATCACACGGGCATAGTCCATGTTGGCTTCCCTCAAAAGAGGAGTTGGATCCTCATTGCATTCCAACATATTCAATGTATTGTACATAAGTTTTTTAATGCGCCAAACTTGGTCTTCAGTAAATGTTAAGATGTCTTCAATGGGCATACAATTTACACATTTTTGGAGATCCTACGTTTAGCACATAATGTTATGAGTTATTTGAGAGCATATGATACATTATTCACAAAAATGATCTTTTAGTTTTTAAAGAAAGCATTGTCTGATGAGGTGAAAGAAAAATCAACAAACACACAAAGGAAGAAATTACCATCTTTGATTGTTGTGTTGAATGAGTGTTTATTTTCTCACTTTACAAAAGCAAAAGAATTCTGCATTGTTTTAGACTTATTTATTGAAGTAACATGCACTAAGAAACCTGCATCAAATGTTATTCATATATTTATTTTTCAAATAAATTAATTAATAACGAAGTAGGAAACATAATATATATATATATATATATATATATATATTTATGTCTAATACTGTTTGACAATTGGTTAAGATTTTAGAAAGAATTGGATGGATTGATATGAAGATTTTTTAATGCATTTAAGTTCTGACCACAATTTTTTTGTGATTTAACAATGTTTGGTTCGTACATTTATCTTTACTGTAAGAAATTCAGAATTAAGTTTGAATCAAATAAAAATATGGTTCAGCCAAATAATAAATTGGTTGTATCTGCTTTATTTCCTCTGTTTCTTGTCACATGCATGTATTTTTTATTTTATTTTATTTTCATAATTGTACTTAATAATACATGTAATTTGAATTTATTTTTTTCATTTCTACAACACAAGACTGGAATTTATATATATATATATATATATATATATATGCATACATAGCAAGGAATAAATTTTATTTATTTAACTTAAGTGATAAATAAAATCTTATCTGTTGTATTGGATACTATTATTTTAATACTTACAATGAAAAACAAATCTTTTATCCACCATCTGTAAATCGAAAACCTAATTAATTGCCACTTTTTTTATGATAGGTTATGTAGTTAATTTGAAAGAGATTTGAAAAAAATTGAAAACATATCATAGAAAAAGTTTTTAGTAATGCATTTTTCAAATATACATTGAATCAATCAAGTATTGCTTTCAGAAAAAAAAAATACTTGTTTCTATTCAATTGAGCAGTTAGCTTTGAGCGGAAAGCTTGTTTGTGTTTAAATAATTGAAGTTGGTAACGTATTTTAGATGTAATTTTTTTTTTTTTATAAAATGAAACAACCAAAGTTAATGGTTCTCAACAATCACATGTGTCTCTCTCATATTCGAATTAAAATCAAGTAACATAAATTTAAGCAAATAAACATTTTTTTTTTTAATAGTGTATTCAAATTGATATTCAGAGACATTCCCAATAATATTTTAATATTTCATTTCTGATTTTTTAGAATTATTTGATATATCCAAGTTCAGTAATGAAATTTTCTCATATCTTTAAAAATGTATGACACTTCTTCACCAAGTATTAAATGTTAAAGCAACACTAAATGATTATCAATTTGGTCAATGAACTGATTTAATTTTTATTTAATTTTGGTTTTTTGATTTCGCATCAAAGTTCCATTTTTTCAGTTTCTTTTATGTGATTGTTGTTGTAAAGTTTGATTTATGAACTTACATCCTCAAAAATAATTATTAATAATATAAAAAAATGAGATTACGCCCTAGAACAAGAACCATGCTCAGGGTAGGATATTATTATCATCATAAAATGGATTTCTTCGTCGTATATTTAAGATTATTTTTATTTATTTATTTATTTATTTTAAACATCAAAAGATTTGAAAATAAATATCAGCATAAAGGCTTAGCAAATAATATGCCATGAACACAAGTAGCTCAAAAGAGATTCAAAGACGTCTAGTTTTTCTTAAAGATTGTATAATTTGCTATTGATTTCAGTTTTAAAAAAGTAATACATGGCCACTATTTTATTCAGATTTCTTGCATCTAGATTTGAACATATCAACGAGTTCCACACGATGCTATTTTATAAGAAGATATATATATATATATATATATATTTGAGGTGCTTCCTCATGTCACAAACCAGAAGTAGTTTTATATTTGATAAAATTACTTGATGTGTATTTTAAGTTTCATAAAAAAACAAAAAATTCTAGTGGTTTCTGATGGTTACAGAATGTGATTATATCTAATATATATTTTTTATTTGTATAATTTTATTGACATTTAACAAATAGTACTTACAATAAAATTTAACATTGTTGGGAGTTAAACTATTATAAATACTTGCAATTAAACATTTGTCACAACAATTGTACTATATTTGGAAGACAACACAAACATCACTCAATTGAGTAAAAAATGGACATTATTTTTCACAAATAGGCAATTTGTGAATTCCATTCTTTAACAATTAAGAAGACTAAGTAGTGTACAAAGATATGATTCATGTATTGTATTCTAAATCATATTTTACTTTATTTTTTATTTTTTGGTCCTTCATATATCAAATATAAAATAAAAATAATTTTTTTCAACAAGTTAAACATTGGGTTTATTTTTATTTTTAAATGGTTGTTTATTTAGACACCATTATAAAGTGAAACGCTTATAGTGCATCAAATCTCTAGTATTTACACATTTCAATTGTGAGTGGGCACAATTGTCTCAATGGGTATCTATTTATTAACCAATACAAGCCTCATGAATTCAGGGCTGTCATAGATAAAATTCACAGTGAATTGAGAACTCAGCCATGGAAAAAATAGTTTTGTGTTTTGTTTTTGGTTTCATTCTTAATCTTAATCAAGACACTGCAGAGATTACAAAAAAAGCCACAAAACAAGGAGTAAAGTGCTTTTGTAAATACTCGTCCCGAGTGTATAAATCGAGCGCGTACGGAGTGTACATTGCTAGAGTACGTTCGAGGGTATGATATTGTGAGCGGGTATAGATCGTGTTCAAGGGTATGATACTGCGAACGGGTATAGATTACGTTTAAGGGTATGGAGTTTCTGGGCGGGTGTATTATAGGTTACAAAGGGGTTCTCAATCCACGAGGAGGAGGATGAAGTGGGGGGCCCCTGTGTTTCTCGCTCCCTCTCTCGTCTAGAGAGTCGGCTAGAAGAGGGACGATCTACACAAAACCATCACCAGATTTGCAAGGGTAATTTGTAACAACGCTCAGCTATGGCGAGCGAGAAGGGCCGTCCTCTCCCGTCGCCGCTCAAGAATGTCTTCCTCCGATGTTCCCCTGCTGTACGCTTCTCTTGACAACTCTTCGCTCGCTCGCATGATTCTATTATGGGTTTGTGGGTGGTGGGTTTAGAATCGTTTTCCCCGTTGGATGTGTAACGAAGGGTGTGTGATGAGAGAGTGAGAGAGAGGTTGATTGAGTGCAATACGACATCGACCGATGTCGAGATAGATGGCTTGTAGTCTAGAATTTCGTGTAGGAAACGGGTTCTTGTTGCGGTGTTCTCGAACCGTGGGTTCCAAGTGACTCTGCCGTGAGGTATTGATGATCCAATCTGTGAGAGGTCGATGCGCTGGCTTTTATCGTGTGTGACTTAGGGTAGATTTTGTTCGTGTAGGTTGTGAGGAATTGCCCTCGACATTCGAGGTTCTTGTTTTGATTGGGTTTTGTATTGATGTGTAGTATTTTGTAGAATTTCGTGAAGTGAATGAATCGGCTCCATCTGTGAGATTTTGCTCGTTTGCTGCGAAGAAGTGGCTCCTTCAATAAACATCTTCTAGGCTTTGAGGGTTATGAATGTATCTTGCGCTGTGTGGTTCTGTGAATCTCATGGAGTGTAATGAACCAGCTCGTTGGATAGGTATTTGGAGGAATGTTGGAATTCGTGGGGTGGAGATGGGGTGTTTCTTACGTTGGGCATGTCTGTAGATGAAAGAATATGGTCAGTGCGTCGCCACCAAATTGCCAGCTGTGGAGAAAGGAATGTGCGAGAAGGAGTTTTTGGCGCTTAAAACTTGCATGCAGAACGCGGTAAGCAGATTTAATCTTCCTTCTCGATTTTTGTCTTCCTGGAATCTTGCTCAGTAGGGCTTACTATGAATCAATAATATTCATCCGGCCTTTTCTGTAAGGTTCTGTTTTGTTCTTGTTTGCTCCATTTTTTTTCTGTTTGAGTGTTTTAATTGTAATCTTGGTGGACGGGTTTGTTGAAGATTCTTATAATTGCGCTTCGGTTCCATACACATGGTTTAGGCATTGCAATACTATATAGGAGTCTTTCTTGCCCACTCAAATCTTCACCATTTAAATTTCAAGCTTGTCATACAAGAAGTGGCATGATTGGTTGTATTGCGTAGGCCAAGAAAAAGTGATAGCGATTGTTCAGTATATCGTAGTCTAGAATGGGACTGGCGGAAAGAGCTTCGTCGAGCTCGGGGGCTCGTTTAGGTATGGGAGCAGGAGGTGCAAAGTCGCATGCCTATATCCAGTACCCACCCTTACGATGCGACATTCCAGGAGCCGCGGGCGTGATGTACGATGATGGTAATAAGCTTCTGCTTGTGCCAGCCCCCAGTAAGGTGGTCATCTTTCTCTTACCTTGGCCAGGTTTGAAGAGTTGGGCATTTTCTTTTCCGCACATGTTCGCGGGTCGATGTTAACCTGACAATGAACGGGTAGAATCGTTTGCGCTAAATGCCTGAATCATTTATCCTAAGAGTATTTTTCTCGCTAAAATCTGGATCCAAAACTATATCTATTTCCACATAAAGCAGAATATGAGGCCATGACTGAGACAGCAGGCCGCCGGTTGATTGTGGAAAGCAAAGGATCTTGTCTGCTTCTATTTGTTAGTCTTTCTTGTTCCCCGCAAGCTGAATTCTGGAATCAATTTGCAGGTTTATTCATGGCCAACAAATCAACACCCGCCTGCAGAGTTGCCGGGAGTAACCGACATTAAGGAAGGGCCTATTCTGGGAGTTAGGTATTCGTTAGATGGGAAGATATTAGCTATTCAGCGAACTAATCAAGAGATAGAGTTCGTGAACAAAGAGAGCTGTACTGGATTCAAACAGCAGTGTAGGAGTGGCTCGGATCGAATCTTTGGTTTCTTTTGGACAGACTGCCCTGCTTGCGACATTGTCTTCGTTACCACAAGGTGCGATTTGCCTCGCTACTCGTATCCAAGAAGCATTAATTGAACTGAAACCCTTAGTACGAATCGTAAATGATGTCAATTTTGTTGGCATGCTTGGAATAGTCACAGCTTAACGCAGCATATTCTGCTGACCTTTTATTGTGTTTGTTCTAAAATGGCGCCTCCCGGCAAATGGTATTGATTTTATCAGTGTTCATTTTTACATGGGCTGTTTTCATGTATCAGTGGACTAGAGATGTACACTTTGTACCTGAGTAAGAATGGGCTGAAACTGGTGGAGTACAAGAAAACGCATGTGAGCTGGTATGTGTACACACACGAGAGCCGTCTTGTATTGCTTGCATCGGGCATGCAATGCAAAACACTCTCTGGATATCAGGTTGTATATCTATCTCCTGACCTTATCACTTGATTCATGTTTCACGTAATCAGTGTGGAATTTATTTCACCTCGTTTTCTTTCATTCTTTCTTCTTTTTATTTTTATTTTTATTTTTTATGTGCTTAATTTTCCCCTCACCCCTACTCGCTCCTTCTCCGGTTTAGAAGTTGTTGGTTGCGGTAGGATATGTATATGACTGGTGTTCTGCTCAGTTTGCTGCAGGGGGGATTGTGAGACTGCCGAAGTACGATGTTACAATGACTAAACAAGAATATAATCGCAAGCCTGTGCTAGCTCCCGAAGATATCCGCATAGCTACTATGTCAGTACTCACTTACAATTCCAACGGATGTTTTTAAAGTGATCAGCTAACAATGAGCAGAATTACGTATATTATGTGTACTGTTTTACTAGAATGAGGATAGTTGTTTGTTACGTGTGTACTTGTACATCCTCTTTAAAGAACAAGTTTTTTTTTTTTTTTTTTTTTTTTTTTTTTTTTTTTCCTGCGCTGATCGTGTGAATGTTGTAAATGGAACAGGTATGGAAGACTTTATTGCGTCCAGGTGGATAGAGTGGCGTTGCAACTGCACATGTATCGGTTCTATAGGGATGCTGTTGTACCTCAGGTATATGTCTTAACAAATATGCATTGAATGTTACATTACAGGGCAACACATTACCTTGGCCATGAGGCACAGATTGATAACGGGGGTGTGTCATTTGTTGGATATTGCGATTAAAAATGAATATACCATGTCTTTCTTATGCGACTTGGTGCGTTTTTTTGACTTCAGGTGTAAACCATCATTGTGCTTATGAGTTCAAACAAAGCCTTTAGTTTTGATTGAACGTTTTCCCTGTCCTACCTTTGTGCTCATGAGTTACCAAATAGAACACCTCCCAGAGTTTTGTCGTTAGACCAATTCTTTCTCTTTTCTGGCACTTCTGCGCACTTGGTCGACCCTGCTTCTTCTCTTTTGCCTTCCGTGTAATAACCTTGTGTCTCAATTCGACTCTCAACCTGCATCTAGAGGTCTGTTGACATTGCCATTTGAAACCATGAGGTTCAGTAGGTCACGTCAGGTTTCAACTGTCGTGTGGACTAAATGTCTCATCGTCATTTGTGACGTAGCACGTGATGATGATGTTCCAGAAGCATGGTTACTGAGAATGCTAACCCTTAACACCTGATTGGTTTGGAAAAATTGGTGGATTCACCAAAGCATCTCACATTTTTTTCCTGACGAAGTGGGTCTGATGGTTGCAGGGATCTCTGCCGATATTCTCCTCCCATGTGGCAATTAGTGTAGTTGATAACGTCCTTCTGGTCCATCAAACAGATTCTCAAGTAGTCTTACTGTACGACATCTTGACAGATCCTAGAGGTCCGATCTCTGCTCCTCTTCCACTTCTTCTGAGGGGAGCTCCCTCTCCAGCTGCTTCATCCTCATCGAATACGGGGAAAGGCTCCAGAAGACCCTTATCAACTGCAGAGGCAACTATATATGGGAAGGGCTGGGTGTTCATCAACCCAGACCTTGTGCTGGATCACATGCATGGACTTCTTTGGCGTGTTCGGCTTGACTTGGAGGTATACTTATCTGCTACAATCTGACTCGTTCTGAAGTTTCAGTCTTTGTCAATCCCCTTTACTCAACCTCGTGTGCGACCATGTTCTAGTGGGAAGAAAGCCAAGAGCTTTGGTTTTGAATAAGGTGCATAGGAATATTTTGTTGAACGGTATTTTTTTAACGTGTTCACATCAACAAATTTCCATTGTCAAGCATGCCGTGTATGCTGCCTGGTTACAATCTATAGTTCAATTTAAACTGATACATTACATTTTGTGTTTTGTACTTCTTTATTACATTTTCGTACTTGTCATAAATTAACCGGATAGCTCTTCTTCTGCTGCTGGACTAAGTAGTTTTCTTCTTATCATGCAGGCAGTAGCTGCTAGCTCATCAAATTTGCCGTCATTGCTTTCTTTCTTGCAGCGTCGGCGATTTGATGCCCCGAAGGTTCAATTCACAAAATTTCTGCTCAACATCGCCTTGGTTCAGTTTTCACTTTTATTTCAGTTCGTAGGTGAACCTTTTGAATTTCACTTGTCACTAACTTTGTAGCTCCTCGGCTTAAATGAACCACCTCTAGTTGCTGCTGTAACACAGAGAGGATGAACCTACACTTGACAGGTGCATATATAAATGTCTACCGCTGCTTTCTGCTCATCTTTTGCGAATACTGAAACCATTCATCTTGTTAACAATGAAGGCTAAGGAGCTTTCGCTAATCGTGATCAAGTCCATGATTATCGAACGTCGCTCTTTGCGTTTGATTGCGTCTGCAATGGATGTGGTTACTGCTTCCTATGCTCAAGCTACACGGCCATCATCTGGGACTGGTGGTTCAGGCTATCAACCAATGAATAAGTCTACTGCAGTAAGCAGTGGGGGGATCACTTTAAGTGCTGGGCCAAGAGGTGTGTTTCTAGGTAGTCATTAATGAGGTTTTCTATTTGTTTCCAATATTGGGAAAAATTGTTAAAAGTGTGAGTGCGTTATCATTGGGATTAGAACCACACCAGCTATCTCCTTATTCTTGGATCAGTCGCTTCAGATATTTTTGCTTGATGATATATATATTTAGTGTTCAAGGTTTCTATTCATGTTTATATATAGTAAACATCGTGGATATAGAGTGTCATTGATGAAGGAAATCTAGATTTTTGACAGTACCCTTGACTGCAATTCCTGGATTGCAAGTAGCAGGTTCGCAATCTTCTTCCAATCCTGTTGGTAAAGCCATGAGCAAATCCAAGATAGTTGAAATAGAGCAGGACGCGGAGACTGTGTCAGATGCAGAGAGCATCATTAGCTCGGAGATTGAAGAGGCACCCTTAACATCATCTCAGGAGCAAACTTCAGCTCCAAGTAGCAGCAGGTTAGATCTTTTATCTGAATCAACACCCGAGGTTACATGAGGCAGTTCATATCAAATTTCTGTCGCTTTTGTGGTGTCAAATGAAGAGCGTTATAAGCTACCAGCACAGTTTTCCTAGTATGCGTTATGAGTTTCTAAGAGTCATTGTTAGGCTAAATTGTATCCATAGTAGAACAATGTGTGCACATTGTTCCTAGCCGCATTTGTTATTTTGATTATTGGGTTTGTGTTACCAACGTACCTTTGCGTACTCCAATATAATTTTTTACAAAATGACCAATGCAATTTCAAAAACAGGGTTCTCAGCAGAGAAGGAAGTAAAGGTATTACTATGGAATCCTCAACCTCGAACAGCTCATCTCTTTTAGCCTCAGGCTTGCAGGGGCTTCGGATGGGGCTACCAGCACCGTATATATCACCAGATGATGTCTTGCAAAGTGTTTTTCTTGCAATTGAAGAGGAGATGTGCACGGATTCTACATTTTATGTTGCAGCCATTGTAGAGTACATGCGCAGGTATCCACACCAAACACAACTGGACTTGGTCTAAAGCAGCAAACGTTTGTGTGCCAAATTTAAACGTATTTTTCTGGTTCAGTTTGTGAAGGATGCAATGATATGACATCCTAGTCAGAAGTTGGTTGTCAAATTAAAATGTGTCTGCTTTCCTTTGTTTAGTTTTCATAATTGAGCTTGTGTGTGAGACAATTATCTTCGCTCTTTTGCAAAATTTTAGGACTTCGTTTTGAACTAGTGATGAAATAAATGTGCCTTGATTGCTCCCATCAGTACAGCGAAGGAAAATGTGCGTGTTCCTCCAGGGCTGCAAGCATTGATGGTACAACTGCTCGGTCGTGATGAGAGGTATCATGAGCTTCGACAGTTTGTTGCTGGGAAGCTCATTGATCCATCAAGAACTGTTGCCTTGCAACTTCTGGATGTTGGAACCAACGACAGAGAAACACGGAAGCTTGGAATGGAAATGTTGAGACTTCTTCATGCTCACTGTGATTACGTGAAGCTTCTCCTGCAAGATGGGCGGCTACTCGAGGGTCTTCGCTACATACGACAGAACAAGGTTTGGACCTCTCCAGACACTTCGGTCTCTAATGTACGCTGTAACGACACGAAAGCAGGGATTTTATCCCGAGAGCTGTCGTCAGTGTTATCTAAGTGAGGAATATGTCCCCTCAAAAGCACTTATTCTAAAGATTATTTATTTATTTATATTACTTATTATCATTTTTCCAAACAAAACCTGATTTTTCGCGTTGATTGATTAGTGTGTGGAATGCTTTACCTTTGAAGAGAGTGGACTTTTGTACTCGAACTAGACGTAACATGTTTTGTGATACGTGTTTTCTTATTCGTGGTTTTCAGGTGGATACGATACCTCCAGCCCTGTTTCTAGAGGCTGCAGCAAACAGCAACGATATCGAGAAGCTTGCATCTGTTTTCCGGTTTTGCTTAGATTTTTTGCCAGGGTTTCAGCAGACACCTGACTTCAACTTGTATTCATCACGCCTTAACCAGCAATGCATTGTGGGGAGCGGCTGCTGAATTTGGATCTGCAATTTTGTAATAACACCATTACATTCTTGTTCTGCTGGAGTGAGTTGAGATCATGGTATGGGCTGCTCAGCTAGGAGCGAAGGCGCTAATTCACAAGTCCATCAGAGGGTCACACAATAGAAAAAATTCCAGCTGAGAACTGATGCTTGTCTGTGCTCGTGTTAAGAATGTTTCAACTCTTTTTCTCTAGCAAGTCCGGAATTTGTGAGAACTGCTGTAGTTCATGAGGATGTACTTTGAAGGATAAAGGAGCAAATTTTAAATTTATAAACACTCATGATTGCTGGTAAACTGAAGTTCTCACGTTACCTTGTGAGAAACTGTTGAATTGTTTGTGTCGAAATGTTGTATCGTGTTTATAATATGATTTTTGGGATATTTCAAGTTTTCAAGACAAGTCATTAATTATAAACGCGAGTGTTCAAGATAGTCAGTTGAAAGTTTTTTAATGGTAAACATTCACATTTATATACAACACACATGAGTTTTTTTGGTACCTGATTCTTACATCAGTCTTTAGTTTACATCAGGAACAGTTCTACAGCTAGGATTGAGTAAATGTATTATTACAAAACTTCACTAGTTTTACAATAATGAGTAGTTCGGAGAGGATTCAATGCGGGGCAGGTGCCCACGCCGTCGTGGGAGCGGCCGAGGTTCTAGAACGCCTGAGAAATATAAGAATGCCGCGAGGCACCGGTGGTCTAGGGGACGAATGGTTCCCTGCCACGGTGCAGATCCAGATTCAATTCCCGGCCTGTGCAGGTGAAGAGAGCCACAATAGCTGGAATAGCTCAGCTGTTTAGGGGTCACACTAGGGAGCATGTGGTATCTGGCATCATGCAGCGACATCCAACAGAGTCTTGACTAGCATAAGAACCCTCATCCGGAACTTTGTATGGGCAGGAGACCCGGACAGGAAGTCGAGGGCCAGACGGCCAAAGGAGGGATCAAGGTGTTCTACCCACTGGACCAAACGAGAGCTCTCCTGGCCAACATGATATCGAGAGCCCTGGTCCCGGGAGAAGAGCCCTGAAAATCCCTCATCTTTCATAGGATCCAGAACGCACAGCTCCGCAAGAATGGAGACTAGGGCAAACACATGGGCTGGGTATTCACGGCTCTCAAAATATGGCTACAAGGATCAAGCCATTGGCAAGCAATATGGACTGCGTGGGCGACGGTTAGAAAGGAACTTACCAAAGCATTGGCCAACATGCACGCCAAAAAGATGCATTATCATCTATTTTTGATTACAGAAATCACCACGGATGATAATGTCAGCTTGGGAACAGAGGCCAACTCAAGGTTCCGCACATGGTCCATCAACAGGGTCAACAGAGTGGAAGACATATTGGAGGGCCACCGGCACAACTAGCAGACCAATCAAGCACTGAGACACAGGATGCGATCTGGAAGGATCAAAAAGCTCACACACATCATGCATGAAGTGGTAAAATGGAACCTCACACGACCCAGTCCCCTGACTGAAGAGAGATGGATAACGTCGAGCCCCGAGGCACTGGTCTACCACATAACAGGAAGCTGACCCGAAAGATAGAAAGGCTCCTGATAAGGAAGAACAGTCGGAACAAACAAACTCGATAGGATCAATAACCACATGACGATACTTGTAGATGCAACAGAGGAAGCAAGGATATTCATAGGAAACCACCTAGGCAAGGTGGTGGAATTCAACTCAACCAACCCCTTGGACGGGACTTGCACAATATGGACGCAGAGAGAGGGCCTCACGAAAGGCTTTAAAATCGATCCAAAGGAATGGACGTGGTGCAAGTAGGGCCCAATGCCAACTGAACAATTGTTCAACTACACTACAAAGAAAGTGTACAGAACCATCCTGACGCAACAATGCAGGTAGATGGAATTCCACAAGACCATGGCGAGCTGGGGCTACTCCCAACCCAACAAACGCAATACTTCGCCAAACTATGGCACTTGTGGCTCTTCCACAAGATCTCTGCCATGGTGTGGCTCTTGATTGTGGAGGGCCTTTCTATTAGAAAATAGAAGTGTAAAATATAGGAAGATGGCCACTACACCTTCTATGCCGGCTAGATCTTGGAGATGGCAAAATCAGCATTCTTTGCATGTCCACAAGTTGCACTAGCTTGAGAAAAATATGCAACCGTCAAGAGACTCTCGGACTCGACCACCTCCAACACCATGTAGAAAGCAACACTCCATGACACCTTCTCAGTCCCATCAGCCAATAACACACACGTACATGACAACTCCACGTTCTGGGAAGCGGGCAGCCTGTAGTCCATCACCAAGAACACACCAAGGATCATCCTGCAATATGCCATCATCTAATACATATAGTGCCAAAAATACAAACATGACCTCATGGAAGGACGATTCGACCTCGAGGTGGAATTGTACCAAGCATGGCAGACTACGGTCTAGGTAGCCATGGGCACATGGGCAGAGTTGCAAAAATACAAGCACTGCCATTCACCAGAGCGCTACGGTGAAATGGAATCTAAATTCATGGCGATATGGGCGCAGGAGAAAGTATTCAGCAAGATATCATACTCCAAATAGAAACCAATCTCTCACCCCGACTTCCTGTCCAAGGACCTAGTCAACTGACTCTAGACTATCCTGACACCCATCACAAATCAGACACAATTGCAAGAGGAACTAGGAATCAAAGCCTTATATCAGCAAAGTGCACAACAAACTGCATCCATTGGACAACTAGGGGCCCAACCATGCCCCAACTCTCCACCACGAGCCAAAGATGCCAAAGAACAACTCACGCAGACAATGACAGAGGACATCCTAGCACAGATTATGTGCAACATCGAATACTCAGAGGAAGACAGTTCTTCACAGGACAAGCCGAACAGAAGCCCTAGACACAGGCCAATATACACCAACAATACATAGTACATAGTTATAAATGCTTACAGTATGTGAAATATAATTAAAATATATTATATGTTGACAAATCTAGATGTGTGTTAGAGTGGTTAGTAGATTAAATTAAAAAGGAGTTGATATAAGAAACCTTACTTTGTTCTTTTTACTTGTTTTGATTTTGGCATAAAAATATATATATATATATATATATACACATATATATGACCTAAATAGTTAGTATGAAGCCTTGGAAGAAGGTGGAAGCTTAAGAAAGAAAATCCAAATTAGTGGGAGGCTAATTGGGAGGGATGAAAGCAAGGCATGGTTGGATGAAGGCAAGGAATGGAGAACTTCATCCCTATTGGTCGAATACCATGCCCAATGGGCTTTGAGGAGGTTGCCCGTGATCTTAACAAGGATTTTGGCAACTTCAAAGATGGCATTCAGAAATTAGAAGTCAGGGTTGTAAGGTTTAGGGTTCGGGCTACAATTTGTATGCAAAAATTAGAAGATTTGGAGTTAGAGTGAAGAAGTTATAGACATTTGAAGTTAAGGTGTTAATTTAAGACATACTGTTACTCTTTTGTGAATATGAGGAGTTGTACCATAGTTTTTGAAAATCAGAAGGTGTGGCTGGAATAGTGATTTCAAGGCCTACGTTTTTTAAGAAAGAATTGTTGCTTTTGGAGTTTATATAAAGGAGATATAAGGAGTTGAAGGCGATGCATCCAAATTAAAGGTAGTAAGTGATCAGTTTTGTTTATAGTAATGGTTGGAGCCATAACTTGAGTTCTTGGAAGAATTTTTGGTTCAAACCTTTTGATGAAGGTAGATAATTGTGTTAAAAAACTATACATACAAACTTTGTGGAATTTGGATTTCTAGTTTATGAGATATGAAGAAAATTGCATGCGAGTGTATAAAAACTAAGGTTTGAAGCTACTGTTAGGGTTTTCAAGATATTTCAAGATCTGCAATGAGTTTGTAGTTGAATTTTGTTGTGGAAGTTGATAAGAATACATCAGTACTTCAGGTAAAATTTGAGTAATTTTGGATAGTCGAATTAAGAGTTATGAGGTATTGAAGTTTGAGAAAGTTTCTATATATAGGTATATAAGGATTTAGAGGATTTTATTATGTTTTGGATGTTGTTGGTTACTTGAGGCTTATGAATTTGGTGTAATTGCTCCAAAAGGGAAAGTTTATATATAAACTTAGGACTTTCCTTATTTTGAAGTTGATTGAGAAATTAGTGATAGCCAGGAGCTTAGTGCTTTCTTGAGGCAAATTTTCTCTACTCCGACACCGGGCCATTGTCAACCTTCTTCCCAATGCTTTTGAGCTCCATCACATTTATTTCCATCACAGACAATGCCTCCATTCTACTCCTCTTTCCCAACTACACCCATTACTTCTATCGCTATATAACTTCTGAGGAAATATATCAAATTTGGCCATAGATTTGAATTTCAAAGATTTAAGACTAGATAAAGTGCCACCAACAATTACATACCAGTAATTCATTTTTTTGGAGGTTTGACAAGCAGATGGTTGTTACCACCTTTCAAGAGAGCCTAAAATCTTCCTTTTATACTACTTTTGCATCAAATCCAAATTGTAATGAAGTTATATTTGAATAGCTTTTGAAATAGTTTAGGTCAAAATTCTTAATAAAACTTTAATTTGTCAATAATAATTTTTATTTAATAACAAATTTGTTCCAACTCTTAATCCAACATTTCTTCAATTCAATTCTAAAAAGCCTATCTAAACTACCATAGTTGCAAAGATTTAATCTATTGCATGCATATGCTATCTAAATTGTATATTGACTTAATTACATGTACAACACCAACTTCTATTATTAAACTCATATGCTAAAATTTATAAAATAATTGGTTAAAATTAAGTTTGTTGACTCCATCAAACATTTGACTCGATACTATCATATTCAATCTCTATATTAAGTTGCATATTTGAGTTTTTTAATAAAATAATAAAAGCCAAAAGCCAAAAAAATTATAATTACTTTCTAATGTTAACTATGTCAATATATTTACTACAAAACTAATATGGATCTTTAGGATTAAACTTATGCATTCTTCTAGTATCCATTGAAAGATGCATCAAATCTCCAACTACAAAAAGAGAAAATATCACCAATTAGTTTTTAATATTCATTATGTTAAAGAAGAGAGCATAATATTCCACCTAATTGCATCTAAGTTTCATCAAGATTGATAATAATAAAAATAAATTTAAGGAGAAAAAAAAAAAAAAATCAACCAACATGAATGCAAAAGTCAAATTTCTTTTTATAATTTCTTCAATAACTATTCTTTCATAATCTTTAACTAACAATCAAAAACCTTAAAAGAAATTTTTCTAAATAGTATTTAATAATTAACAAATACTACAATTTTAAAATATAAAAATAGTAATGAATTGATTCAAAATATTTGTTGTCTAAAAAAACAATACTTTTATATTTTTACAAATTGTGAATAGTAAGTTTGTAAGTTGGTTAGAAAAAAACTTTTAGGATGTGCAATACACATTGCAAATTGGTTAGTGTATGGGTAGCTTGAAGTTTGCAAATAATTGTGGCTTGCAACATTGTTGTATTATGGTGATGAGGTCCTATTTAGATGCAAGAGCAAGATGGGGATTTTGTTGCAGACATGTAATTATGGGGAAGGGTTAGAGGAGGAAGTAGAATGATGTAGACAAGAAAAGAAAAGAAAAAGGGGGGATGGATAGTATGCGGCATGTGAGTGATGTGAAGGAGAAGGATGGGGGTGAGGCAAGGGATGAGGAGTTTTGAGAGGGGGTGTCACATGAGAGTAGGATGCATGTTTGTGGGGTTGTGGGATGGGAGTGATGGGGGCAGTTGGGAATAAATGTTAGGGTGCTCAATAGAGTTGTAAAGAAGGTTGACAATGGCCTTGGGGGTTTGTTGTGCACTCTGCGGGCGTGGGGTAAAATGTCATCTGTTGCGCTAGAAGAAGGGGTCGAACCTCCGACCTTGTGGTTAACAGCCACACGCTCTAACCAACTGAGCTATTCCAGCTTCCTCACCTCCTGTGCCCCCGTCCCGGCCGGACTCTAACCCGCGTCAGTTCCGAACATAGGTGCAATCCCACCACTAGATCTCCGATGCCTCACGGCAATTTCTGATCAGCTGACATCCTACAACCTTGGCCGCCCCCACGACCGGCTGTATTGCTGCACCGGATTTCGACCTCTTTGAACCACGGACCTTCACGCCCACCACCTGCCCGCGACCGCGACTTAACACCCTCCGTCCCCTGACTGGGGAATGAATCCAGCCTTTACTTCACCGCAACCCAATCGGCCCCATCAACAACAACCTCCATCATCCATTCACGCCAACGCCCCAGGTTCTGCCCCTTGACCCACCACCCTCTCTCTGTGCACGCCCACCCCGTATCTGTGTCCACAATGATATATTTAATAAAGTAATTACTTTAAGCATCAATTAGTTAGTTCTTTTCAATCTTAGTGTAGCCTCTTCTTTTCTTTTTCTTTTTTCTTTTCTTTTTGTAAACCGAGTTACCATACTTCTTTACTGGAGGGGTATTCCATTACAATACTAAGAACAAAAGCTCATTGCATAAATTTGATCATATTTGGTTTAAATTCTTTTCATTCTGTATCATCTTATGGATGAATATGTCAGATACAGTTTTAATTTTTTCGATTATTTTAGAATTCTTTATTTATTTGTTCATTTATTTAACTTTAATCTTTTTTCTGCTATCGATTTCTATCCCGTTATTTTTGTCCATTCAAATCCAAGTTTTCCTTAGGTTTTGATGTAAATTTCTTTGTTTCCTTTTCTACTGTTTTATTGAAGTTAAAGAATATTTTGTCCTTAAGCTAGCACTATGCATCATTTGTATTATCATCATTGTTGATTGTTCATCTATTATTTCAAATTAACAAAGATTTACACCACTGGGCATAAACATCGTTCTCGTGAATTCCAAGTAATCTTTCAACATGACAATTTCTCTCGTACACTCCAATTAATAGTCTAGTGAAAAGAATAAAAAATGATAATCTTGACCATTGAGGAAATTTGTTGACTTTTGTTATTATTTTTTGTTTGTCTCACATGAAGCCCTTCCCCTCTCATCACACAGATATGATACAGTTCACACTCTAAAATACTCTGTTTTAATGGATCCAAAGTGAAGACATTTTCTTTCTATTCGCTGTATCACTTAACAATTGGGACATATTACTCTTATGACTGTTAACAAAAGAATACGGGACCAAGTGATTATTCTTATGTTAATCTTTTTCCATTTTGTTGATTGCTCATTTCAGTTTTTCTACGTCCACTAGATACATTCTGCCACAAATAGAAACATCCAACTGTGCTTCGACATGAACTCAATCATTCGCGTCTTGTTGACGCTCAATCGTAGAAACATATGCAGCAAAATGACGCTGGAAGATGGACGAGATGCAGTGCCAAGCAAGAAAGGGAAGAGTCTGTGTGGGCCAAAAATAGAGAGCATATTAAAACTGATGAGTCCATTGTATGACAAAAAAGAAGGAATGTCCCTCTTGTTCTTCATACTGGAATACAATTTTCCTTCGCATTGTAGTACGAAGATCAATGACAAATAGAATGCAAATGAGTGAGGTCTATGTGACACATCTCGCCCATGACAGGCCTCATGGTGGATGCAGGGAAACAGAGATTCATGCTACCGGTTTCGGTTCTAAATAAGCAATGGCGTGGATCTAACAAGCTTGCTGCTGCTTCAAGGCTGCGAACTTTGAGTCACCGTCGAGAATCTCCTGCCCTATCAATCGACAAGGCTCCTCCTCTCTCTTCCACAGCACGTCGACGTGTCCAAAACCGTGGACCTTGTGAAGAGCTACGTTGGAGAATCGGCGGCTCATTTCCTCCGACAGGGAGATGTGGCATGAGGTGTCATCCTCCCCGTGGTAGACCAGGATGCGTTTGTTGAGCTTCTGCAGTTTGATCAGTGCGGGGATGACAGCATGCGTGCCGCCTAGCAGGGAGTTGTGAGTCATGTGCCATGCAGCGTCATGGTGGTTGGTGATGTAATCTGCAATGAATGAGATGGGGAACCTGCAACAACGAACAACCAATTGAAGACCATACACAGAAAGAAAATCGGTAGCACATCCTAGCTTCTTAGCTTCCAGGAGACAGCTTAAATAAAGAGGTACCTTGAAATTCCTGCTCTCTACAACCAGCTGATGCTCTCTAAAACCAATGTGTAGAGAGCAAGAGGTCGCTTACCGCTTCCATTTCCTGTAAAAATACGAAACCCAGAACGTGTGTCTCGCATAGAATAAGATTGCTGCTGCCCGACTGATATTGTAATACTTGCTGACTAACAAACCTCGAAATCCTTTAACCTGCACACACACACACACACACACGCACACAAATGTCAAAAATGACATGCATCTTGGAGGTATCATCCTTAAATTGGGTAACACAACTTGCTGCTAAAATTTTCAAAAATCGAAGCCAATTTCCGGGGTAAATACCGTGAAGGGCTGGAGGAAGGAGAAGAAGGCATCGCAGGGCAGTCGATCCAATTTGCCGCTCGCGTCGAAGTTTCCTGGTGGGTACACAGGAGCGATCAACGTGATGGATCTCACTTTGTCTGGATGACGGGCCGCAAGGACCAGGGCCATGATGCATCCCATAGAGTGAGCCACGATGTGGAAGCTTTCCAGCGCATGCCTTCGAAGTATTGATTTCTCCAGCACTTCAATGTGGTCGGTTACCGTGTAAGCACAATCCAGAGGTCTTGGGCTCCGCCCGCAACCCAGAAGATCGGGCGCAAGAATCCTGTGGTGGTTCTTAATTTCATCCGAGAGGCAAGGGATCAACTTCGTGTCAAACCAGAAAGAGGAAGAGCTGAACAATCCATGGAGGAATATTACCGCTGTGCTCTCTGCACACGACGTTGCAACAAACGAAAATAAATAAAATGTATTTTTGTTTATACCAAAGCCTACCATACGTCTCGGAGAACGGATGACAATAAAACATTAGCGTACAAAACAAAAGGTTATATCTAAATTACTTTTGGTTGAAGAGCTGTGTTGAAGATTGGGTCCAGCTACAGAGAATGGCAATACGGGCTTCAAATTCTCCATGTTCGTACCCTTATCAATAATTTCGGTCTCCTCGCCTCGAAGATTGGTGCATCGTTCAGCCCCGGAAACAGTGTCCTCGCATCGCACGAAGAGTCTGCTCGATGCCTCTTTCGTTGTCATCACAAGAGCAGTGCACTCAGGGCACTGGCAATCCGACCACCGAGGGCGAGCAGGCTTGATTTCTCCTTCTTCGTCATCTTCTTCCTATATAGTACAATTATTGATCATCTTCTTCGTGAGAACGAAGTATAACCTGATAGGAGAGGAGGAATCAAATCACGTGAATTCTGTCCCCCCCTTGAAAACCATTTGCAACATGTTAATTAGAAATTGTGATACCTGTGCTCCATTTGCGATTAGTCCTTCTTTAGAATGGAGGTCTGGCACTTCATAACCCCAGCACCCACAAGCATTCCCTTTGACCCTCCTGGGGCGCAAAATTCCAGCGCGCTTTGGCTTGAGTACGACATCACCATCCAACTTCAATCCCGGATTTCTCAGATCAGGTTCCATCACTTTCTGCAGCTGGCTGGACACTGGGAAGTAATTGTAGTTCAACTGCGGTTTCCCCTCGTGATAGAAGTCCAAAAACCAGAATGCCACGCCCATCACTATGTTCAAAAATGCCAAGTACGCATACAGAAGCTCCTCTGCGCAAATCCAGAAACCAACGTGGACTTGTCGTTTCACAGAGGATAGCCACGAGAGCCTGTGATAAACTCCTTGTTTGATCAGTCTCTTGGTAGCGATCAGACCTGTACCCCAGCACAGCACAAAAGCAGACGCCATCACCCACACCAGCGCCGGTGGCCGATACCTTGTTTCTATGGCAGCGGGGATCGCTGATTCCATTAGAATCGAACTCATTTGAAAGGCCTGTTAAATTACATTCATATTCTTCAGTGCGAGAACGATAGAATCTTCCGCAACCCCTTCGCAGTTTCGTTCTCGCGGAGACAGACAATCACAATAATTTTAGGCAGAATTGACTGATCTCCGAGCTCATCCAGATCTGCGACAAATCCCAAACTTAATTGGCCATTGAAATCACTACGACTTAGTCTTCAACACCCTGAAGTGCCCTCAATCTTCTTAATATACGCAAGAACTTTCCGAAGGATGGACGAATTCCGCGAAGCTCTCCAAAGCTGTGAGCAAAGACTACAAAAAATCTTCCCGCAAGTTGGAAATGGGAGACGCTCACGCAAACCCAAATCTGTACACTAAATTTCTCTCCTCATTTGGGCAAAAAAACACGAGAAAGGTCTCTTATTAAAAAAAAAGAAAAAAGAAAAAAATGAAAAACGCAACTATGTGCGGCGTGTACTAAGATTCCTTTAATCAACAACCTCTTTCAGATCTCGTCACCACGAAACTCCGCGAATTGAGAAAAAACTTCCCAATGTGACTACAACATGAAGACACCCCTCATCCTGAACACACCCCAAGTCTGGATCCTCGCACCTCACAATGAGAAGCAAAGCTCGCATTCCCGTCGCAGCCATCACCACCACATTTAACCCCCAAGAAACATGTAACGCGACTACGAAGTCTTTCCGAGGAACTGCCACGAATGAGCAAGCCGCCCACTGCCGACTCCCACAGGAAAGAAACGAAAAGGCGGATCAAATGGGATGCCGAATTGTAATACTGCTAAAACCATCTCCATAAGGGGCTGCTGCAGCAGGTCCCACCTGCGGCACACACACACAACCGAAAAAGGGACGATGAACGGAGTGAGTGAGCGACACTCTAGATGGCGACGTTGGACATTGAGCGCCACATGGTGCGAAATCGGCAGCCGCCGCTGCTGCTGCAAAGCTCGTGCACGCGCAGCCTAGCGAACCGAAAGTCCAGCTAAAAAACAACAAAAAAATCCGCCTCGCAACAAAAACCTTTTTTTCGGTTTTTCTGGCAGATCTGCCCCGAGACCGCTTTTGGACAAACCCTGACCCCACAGCAACTCTTAGGGCAGCGGGCTGCAATAACCAAAAGAAATAAATATTCAAATCTTAGCTCGCACCAAATTCGAATCAGTTGAATATCCCGGAGGCGTTTCACCAACTCCATTTCGACTTCGTGGATGAATGAATGGTAGCACGTTCGTTCTTTTTGGATGAAACCTTGTCCTATGACCACGGTCTGAAAGTTCTTGCGAAGTTGTGGTTATGGATCCGTATGTTGTTGTATCCCATGAAACCTTGGTGACGCTTATTTGAGATACCCGGGGGTGTGCTATTTTGACCCGGCAGAGGAATTCAAAGGGCAACTCTTCTAGAGCATGCAAATGTCGCATTTCGCAGCCATAGGGCCCCACCTATTGCTTCTCCTACCACCACGAGCTCGGTCACCCACTGCACTGCTGACGCCCGACAATTTGTGACATCTCATTTCACTGGAACCTATTCCCTTCTCGAGGGGTTCTCTTTTGCTCATGTATCTGGTCAGCACCGACTAAAATTAAACGGATTGTACCTTTTACTTTTCCTACTGTACTTGGGGTTTCGGTTCAGTTTCTGAGGTTATGGACTATTTTTTATTTCTTAAAATTATTTTAGGAAATATACTAAATAACTATCTCATCCAATTGTACGATCCTCAGGGGATTCCGCTTTACAAAGCTTCAAAGGCTCAATGGGTCAATGCCAATAGGGCTCGTACAGATGTTCAAATGAAATGGGGCCCATACCAACCATGAAAAAAGCACTGTTTGATGGAAAGTATACTTTAGTATGAGAAGTGTGGGTTGCAGAGGTGGGCATACCTCAAAATGGTGGCAAAACAGCTTCTTTCTATTTTGCTTCCAGAAAAAAAACGATAAAAGGTCCAACCAAGTTGCTTGATGAAAAAGCTAACAGTAATTAGTTCAATCTACTTCAGAGTGAATAGGGAGAAGGGTTTCACCATTTTAGGAGTGACTGGATCTTATGCATGTTGCCATCACAATGTATCCATTGTTTTGAGCTTAACCAACCATATCAAGTATGTGGATAGTTTATTTTATTTTATTTTATTTATTTATTTTTAATACAGTAGTTGTAGGTCTTCCATATGTATCAAGTCTTCAATTAGATTCTAAAGAAGATTTGATAAGCATGGATGAACCAAACACATGCTTAATTCTTATTAGGAATGAGGCAATATACACATAATTTATGCTAGTACCACCAATACAACACCTCCTTGCTTTTGAAAGACACACAACTTCTTTTTCTTTTTTCTTTTTTATTTATTTATTTGATTTGATTTATTTGTAGATGAATTTATTTTATTGATTGATATTCTTTTCTTAATTCAAGTCCTTAACAATCCAATTCTATACAATTATTGGTCTTTAAAATGTCATAAGTATAAAATTAAGGATGATAATTATTATTTGAAAAAAAAATATTTATTGAATATAAGAGAGTATCATATTATTATAAGAAAATTTTGCTAATAATAAGAATGTTGTTCAATGATCTTTATGATAATTAAGGTACAATGTAAGTATCATTGCAATACATGATTTTTATATGTGATTTGTCTATTAACATGTGAATTGGTTTAAATATTAGTTTTGTGAAGACAAAAAAATAAAATAGAATCAATTTATTTGTTGATTTTAATATTTTTAAAGAATCTCTTTTAAAAATTAAATAGAACTCAAGATCTTAGATTAAATATAATATCAACTAAAAACATATAATATAAATAAAAAATATATATTATATATATATATATATATATAGAAATCAATACATTGATTGAATTTTGGTAGTGCATCTCCAATCCAACACTAAACAAAGTAATGTGAATGGAAAATTGTAATACTATGATAGAGTGAGAAGGCAAAGCAAGAATAATTGTAAGCAAGGCTATGAGACACTTGGAATTTATTGAAGTTACAAGGAAAACATTAGCCATACTATACTACATCCATCAAAAGAGGGCTAAGTGTCTATCTTTTATTCTTCCAAGCATATGTATGGTAAACAAAAGTTGGTCAATTTAGTAAAAAATTCAATTAATATATCAAAATTCTATATATATATATATATATATATATATAATTATAATAAATTTATATTATATGAATATGCCATTATAATTAGAAAATATATAAGTATAAAATAGATTAAAAAATCATAATAGATCAATAATAAAAAATATTAAAATAGATAATTAAAATATTTCAAAAATAAATTATAATTAAAAAAGTCTATACAGTTGATTATATAAAATACTTGCTTGAAAATAGATATTATGTAACTGTAATAGTTTTTTTGACAAGTTTATATATTTGAAGCTACAAAAAATCTTTCAAAATAGATCTAAGGTTGTTGTTAAAGTCAAAATGTCATATTATAAGAAAGTTATGTTGTACATACAAGAGACAAATTTAAATATAATCTTAAAGAATTTGTAAGTTACAAGAAACTTATTATTATTATTATTTAAATAAAAGTAGAATCTTAGTGGATCTTGAATGTAATTATCTTAATTGATTTATTATTTTTTTAATTATAAAAATTAATATTTAGTTATTGAGGTAATTTCTATATTGATATTTTATTCACATGTATTATTTATAAAAAAAACCGATAAGTGTTAGTTAATTATTAACAGAAATATGAAAAATAAAACCTCAATATTTTTAGTTATTTATATTATAAATATAATTTTTGGTTAATTTGAATTGTTTCTATGACTATAGAAAATCATTTATGTAAAAAAATAGACCTAATCCCAATTCTAGAAACTTCTCAAACATGGCTCTAACTATCTTTTTCTATGCATTAGCAATATAAATATCTTATTTATATCCCATTACAATTAATTCTCTTCCACTAATGTTGAATGTCCTCGTTTTGCTTCCAATGGTATTTCCAAATTATTTCTTGGTAATGGATGAAGTTCTATGTAGGTTCTATGTTGTGTACCTAATAGCTTGAATGAGGCTTGCCAAAAACTTCCTATGAAGCATGGATCTCGATCTAAAACGATGATACGAGATAATCTATAGTGAAGAAAGGTAGTATCAAAAAAGACTCATGCAAATGTTGGAGCATCAATATCCAAGTGCACTACAATCAAGTGAACTTGCTTTGAGAGTCGATCCACAAAGATAACAACCACGGTGTGATTGTAAGGTGCCTAAGGCAAATACGTAATGAGATCCATAGTGTGAGCTAAAATAAACCTCCATTAGATGGAAGTTTATTCTAATTCACAATGAGTGAATTAACTTTGTGAATTTTGGTAGTTATAACTATTAATAAAATTTATACTAAGTTACTCTTTATTCATCTTAAATAATTCAAGCAATCAAATCATAACTCTACACTAATTCAACTTTACAATAATACATCACTCCATAATTTAATGCCATAAAAATTTCTTTCTTTTAGTTAATTAATTATATGTTATTATTATTATTATTATTATTATTATGTTATTTTAAACTCATCCATTTAACAAATAATCATCCATGAATGAAAATTCATCTATGAATAACTTCTCGTCCATGAATGAGAACTCATCCACTTCAGTCAAAATTCATCCAATATTTTCATTCAAGTTGATTGAAGTTCATTTTTGATTAAATTTCATCCAACAGTTGATATTTATCATCCGACTCCTAAGGCAATCAACCCTAATTGAGGGTTTCACTTTTTAACCAAAAATTTTCTTCCGAAACTTACTTCACCTTGCAATATGCTACTGACTAGGGACGTTGAAGAAGTGTCACTATTCACAGGATGCTCCTTCCGTTTGACCACAATCTTGCAACTTCCTTCCGATCTGCTCCAGATGAGGGCTCCCCCTCGACCAGATAGTAACATCAAAAAAAAAATGATTTTGCTCCACCGCACCGGAACAGCAACAATCCCAGCATACACTCAATGAAGGAGCACACACCGAGAAAATCTGAGCTCCAACCCGTAACAAAAAACAAAGAGAAAGAAATGCGGACGGGCTGCGTAGTTTGCCGAACCCCGACAGCTCCTCCTCGGAAACCCGAAACAGTTTCCTCAATGTTCAAGGCAAGCAACGCTTCGGACGTTAACACTAGGGCCTTCAGCAGACCACTGCACGCCGCTCCATCTTCATACCAACAAACAAAATCAAGTTACGTTGACCACAAGGGCTTCCTCAGTCGATCTCAGGGCAACCCTCAGCACGACTGCACACTGAAAAAATGAGAGCTCGCACGCAAGCCTTGACCGCAGCACACTTCAAAGCAGGACCGCCGACGAGAACAAAAAGAAAAATAGAACCGCCAAGAAAAGCGCTGTAGAAGCGTCCTGAATGAGAGCGAGCAGCCCCCTCAACCTGCTCTAGAATCGCCTGAACTACGACACAAGGTTTTCAGGCTAGTCGTTGCAAACAAAGAAGACAAGAGATCCCCAAGGCAACCACCGATTGTTTCTCTACCTCCTTCCATGTCGAAGAAGAAATGTTAAACTAGCAACCAATGGATTGACGACAACCGTCGGGCTCTCTCAATGCAAAAGTAACGACAACAATAATACAACTTAGCTGCAATGACCACGTTGATTGCAGAGCTTTCACATCAAGCAAAATCCACGAGAGAGGTAGTAACAAATGATAATTTTTTAAGAGCTATTAACAAATAATAATTTTTTTCTTTCTCATACCAAGACTATTTCCTTCGTAATTCCTCTACTATTAGCTAACTAGAAAAATATAGTCTTCATAGTATTTTTCTTACTAAACTCTATCATAGATTGCATGTCCACTACTAGCAATCTATTTTCTATTTTTTCCTAAAATTCTACTATTAATTT